CTCCAGATTACAGATGAAATCTCAACGTGCTGACCAATCAGAGTTCCTGATGATCCCTCAGAGCTGTGTGTGCAGCGTTAGTCAGTTTCTTTCTATTGACTGGAAACAGGTTTATTCTTCTATGAGCGTTAATAACGGTCCCTGTTGTACATTACTCTGTTCAGTTACTTAATACACTGCTGTGCTGATATGGCACAAAGCACGTTAACAATCCATTTGCACAATGTTTCTATTTAAATTTAAATGCAATTATTGTTTATAATGTTTGCAGAGTCAAGGAGCCGTTCAGGACACATTTCACTGTGTGTTGTACTCGCATGACTTGACAAACTAAGGCTGTGTCCCAATTCAGCGACTGCACTGCTTGGAGTACGCATTTTGAGACCTATTACCTCACTGCGATGCGACAACGGCTGTTCCAATTCAAAGTGTACTCCTAATGCGCCTGTCACTACCCAATCCGGAGATTGAAACCCGGAAACCTGATCGGTACCACGCATGTGGCCTCTGGCTACACTGTAGCTGCCATCACCAGTGTGTGAATGGGTGGATGACTGGATGTGTAAAGCGCTTTGGGGTCCTTAGGACCAAGTAAAGCGCTATACATTTACCATGTGTGAATTTTACGATAGTTAAGGGTCAGCGTATCTGTTAAGAATAATAAGTATTTTTGCAATAATGAAATATCAATATAATGAAGACAAAAATGAAAAATAAAAAGATAGTTACGGATCAGGACTCCCCGATCCTTACTGCGCATGTGCAAAGTCGGACTGTACACATCGGGTCTAGCCGATCTGTACCGCGCATGTGTAGATGTTCTCTTCTTCTTCTTCTATAATTAACTCTGTTAATAATAATCCGTATTCGGAGCGGGTACCGACAGCGCCGTCGATTTCCCCAAATAACAAGCGTGGTCCGGTGTCGCTACCAGATCCGTACCGGAAACCCGATTGGTACCCCGCATGCGCAAATCTTACGTCACTTCCTCTCTTTGCCAGCATTGCAACATTCAATATATTTGAATGACACGGTTAGCGCCCAGTTAGCTCCTACCATTTCTCAAGGGCTCTGCCTCCTTTTCAACTACCGGGACATTTAAACAATGGATAATCTGTTTACAAACAAATTCATGCTTTTCTCCTCAACAGAGAGCGTCCCCCGATTGAACAACAGCGCCGTAAAATAAGAACAATGGCGCCTAATTACCAGTGTTGGGACTAACGCGTTATTAAGTAACACGTTACAGTAACTACGTTATTATTGTGGTAACGAGCACGGTAACTAGTTATTATGCCAAAACCAGGAACGCGTTAGTCGTTACTGGGATTTAGATAGGCTCGTTATTCGTTACTTCGTGTGGTGGCATCGCGGAGCTTCCACAGAGTCAGTAACATTAGCAAGTGGTGGAGGCCAGCAGGTGGATGAAGGAAAGGGGACGCAGAAGGAAAAGAGACCCGAGGCGGCCGCCGGTCCAAGTGTGAACTGAACTTCAGGTAAGAAGTTATGACCTGCAGTCTCTCTGGGTCAGATATAAACCAAGTTTAGGTGGAGTTTATTTTCGTTGTGCTTTTTCGTACTGCGTGCTAGCTAGCATGACGGGGTTTCTATACAGCTGGGTGGTGCTATGTTACTGATGTTGAACTTTATTTTGTTCATAAGGTTAATTATTAGAGTTGCCAACCATCCCGTAAAAAACGGAATCGTCTCGTATTCAGAGAAAATATTACGCGTTTCGTATTGAGGTGAAAAGGAACAGTTTGTCCCGGACTTCAGCTACAATGAAAAAGACACAAAGCTGGAGTTATTCTGTGTCTTTGCTGCACAGCTGCCTCTTCTTCTCTCATTCTCTCTCCCTCCCTCTCCTGTTTCTACTTCAGTCATGAAACTGATCAGTGATCAGCTGATCGGCTTTTCTCTCGTTTGTTTATCGTCCACTTTGTGCCAGAAAGAGGAAACCAGCGGATGTCACGCTAAACAACAGCAGCACGTTTAAGCTTGATCAGCTGTTGTTAGAATTTATTTAATATTAATTTCAAGTATCAGCTGATGTTTGCTGGAGCCACAGCTGTAAAGCTGCTGGTCATGATGTCGGTTTGGATATGTGGTGAGAGGGAAACATGAAGATGAAACCAGGAGATGTCCTTACTGAATCATCAGAGCTGTGATGGAGAAACAGGTTTACCTTTTAGGTGACATGGATGAGTTGAAGTTATGAACTGTTTCTGAGAGACAAATAACACCAGGATCCTTTTCTAAGTAGCTGACAGCTGGTAACTGTGCAGGGGCGGGTCTAGCAAAGTGTTTCCAGGGGGGCAGGTAGGGCATTAACAGGGAGAGGGGGGCACAAAGAAATACTTTCTTATTCTCATTTAAAATGTCTAGCTTTTAAAAAATAATTATCTGAGTTTTACAACAAACGATTGATAGATTGATGCATATATACCATCAGAACAGTGTACATCACTGTCACAGCAGTGTTTGTTTTCATTCAAAGGCTTTATGATTTTTCCTATAATGGCGGTCGGTCTCTAGTCAAAGTGCCCGGGCCGATTTATTTGTCCCAGTCCAGCTCTGTATGCAGCTCATCTGCAGTCTGGTGTTTCCTACATCTTCCTATTCAGAAGGCAGAATTTCAGAGTTCTGAGTACAATCGAAATCACCACGACTGCAGTTTTTGTGTTGGATGTAAAAGGCACACATGACGCTGTGACGTAGGCTAGAATCATGGCAGCAGTCAATGACGGTCCAGGCGCGGGGTTTCTCTCGTGGAAATATGCACGTTATCATATCCTTTCTATTGGTAGGTGGCACAGTGCACTGCGGCAAGTAAGCAAGCTAGAAGACTGCAAAGTTATGGAAGCAACACATTAACAAGAGAATTCTGAGTAAAACCAAAGTTACTTTCCCTAGTAACTAGTTACTTTGAAAGTAACGAGTAACTTGAAGTAACTGAGTTACTTGGAAGTAACTAGTAATGTAACTAAGTTACTAATTTAAAGTAACTTACCCAACACTGCCCCAAGTGGAGGAGTTCAAGTATCTCGGGGTCTTGTTCGCGAGTGATGGGAGAAGGGAGCCGGAGATCGACAGACGGATTGGGGCTGCAGCTGCAGTAATGCGGACGCTGCACCGGTCCGTCGTGGTGAAGAGGGAGCTGAGTGTAAAAGCGAAGCTCTCAATTTACCGGTCGATCTACGTCCCTACCCTCACCTATGGCCACGAGCTGTGGGTAGTGACCGAAAGAACGAGATCGCGGATACAAGCGGCAGAAATGAGCTTCCTCCGAAGGGTGGCTGGCCTCTCCCTTAGAGATAGGGTGAGAAGTTCGGCCATCTGGGAGGTGCTCAGAGTAGAGCAGCTGCTGCTCCACATCGAAAGGAGCCAGCTGAGGTGGTTCGGGCATCTGACAAGGATGCCCCCTGGGCGCCTCCTGGGTGAGGTGTTCCAGGCATGTCCCACCGGGAGGAGGCCCCGGGGCAGACCCAGGACACGCTGGAGAGATTATATCTCTCGGCTGGCCTGGGAACGCCTTGGTGTTCCCCCGGATAAGCTGGAGGAGGTGGCTGGGGAGAGGGAGGTCTGGGCCTCTTTGCTTAGGCTGCTGCCCCCGCGACCCGGCCCCGGACAAAGCGGATGAAGATGGATGGATGGATTACCCAACACTGCTAATGACAGAGTTAATAATACAGACTTAGTAATGTGTCACGTGTAGATTCATCAGCCAGATGAAGTGTTTACTGACAATTGACAGTGACAGCGGACATCATCATCACTATTCCGACAATCCTCTCCACACAGACGAGCATAAACACACTCGACTATCACTAAATCAAATTTAACACACGTTTGTAATGACGCTAATTCAGTTTACAATAGGGTTCATTCGCTCGGTCAGCAGGTGGCGGTATCCTCATCCTCATACACTGCCATTAGACTAAACAGAAGAAAAAGAAAACATCTGCACATACGCGGTAAGGATCGGGTAGACGCACCGTACGTAGTGCGCGTACTCCGAAGTGTGCTGGATTGGGACACAGCCTCTGTGTCCGACCAATCAGTCTGCCCTCTCACGCAGGCGGCGGTCCTCCGTGCATCCAACATGTTAAACTTTATTCTTTAGTCTGACCAACGGAAGCGTTAAAATCTACACACACATTCAGCCTTCGTAGTCAGAAGCTTTACTCATACACTCGTCTGTATTTAATCATTGTACTTTAGTTTGATCTTTATTTGTAAAATCAGCAGTCCATACACCCATGCTTGTTTGTGATTGGTCAGATGCTGTCAGCTACACCCTTCCTGTGAGCGTGCAGGGAAGCCCTGGGTTAGCGCCATGCTGACCTCTGAACCTGACTGGTGACATTAGGGTACATGAGCTGGGTCTGCCAGCCTCGTTGAGCAGCACAGGGTGGTGAACGTATGTGAAGTGTTTTACTGACCCCCAGTGGCCAAATGCAGGAAGTACACTTTTAGTCAAACAGGACTAAACACCCTAACTGTTTAGACAAAGTGAGATTTTGAAGGCTCAGTGTTTTGTCTCTCAGCTGCTGCCATTCTGGATCCTTGGAGGAAGGTCTTCATCCTCTACTTACACAAAGATCAGGGCCGTCCCGAGTCACCTGACCTAATGGGTTGGCTATCCTCAGATCCTGGCAGCAGGCACTTCTGCATCGCTTCTTGAATCCGAGATGATGTCTGTGGTTCTGAAGAGGTGTGCAACAGGTATCTATAGACTGCCCAGTCCAGGATTCCTGGTCCGGCGTCAAGTCTGAGCTGGTACAGGTGTGCAGAAGGCATCAGCTGCCAGTGAGTCCAGGAGCTCCTCTTCCTCATGGAGAATAATTTGGAACCAAAGAGAATCAGAAGGGACAGTTTAGTCTGGGAACTAGAACCAGAACCCAGCCCACAGTCTAAAAAGCAGGTTACAGAGGTATGGAGCTTAAAAAGCAGCTTCAAGCTGAAAGATGCAAAATATATGCTTGAATTAAAAAATACTTTTATTTTGAATAAACTGAAGCAGCTTCCCTCACAGAGAATATCACGCAGGACCTTAATGTACAGCACAACAGAGGAAATGAAGGTCAAATGTTGCAGAGACCCGTTTCAGACTGGCACACCTGCTGCAGGTGTGTTTGTGCACCTGAGCTAAAAGGCACCCAAGAACGATCCCTGCCCCACAGCAACATGTTCACGTTTCAAAATAAAAGCTTTGAAACTGTCACGTGCCTACATTTACTACCCCTATGTATTGCCCGGTGTTGTCACATGACCCTAAACCTTTCTCCTGTGGCTCGCCACCCATCACAGCCCACAGGTTACTAACTGTTAACGGGACCTCGAGCATCGTTAGCGTGAAGACCCTCAGGTGGTCCCGGTGTGCATGTCTGGTGGTTCTTGTGACTTGTGAATGGGCAACGAACACTTCAGCGTCCACTTGGTCCTTCAGGTAAGCTAAAAGTCACACAGACTACCTGAGATGGTGAGCGAGTCAGGACGAGAAGCACACTGAGGTGTGCACCTTCACTTTCTCACACCAAGAGACTCTCGGTCAGGCTAGAAAAATGCATTGTGGGTAAAAACATGCAGGTACATCACAGTTTTGCAGTCAAACACAAGCAGCAAACCCACACCTAACAGCCCAAAGTTTACCTGGACAGTTGAAGCTGAGCCTCCTGTCGGCTCCACGTGTAGGAAAAGTTATAAAAAAAATCAAACACAAACATCAGGAAACACAAAGAAACTCAGAATCGGGGGAACTAGAGGCAGCTCCATGAATTTGATCAAAGACCTCAGGGGGGCTGAGAGCGGGACATTTCTATGACTCAACAGCATAAATTGTTTACAAACTGCACATGCTCAGCAGAGGTAATCCAGCAGGTCTGGGGGTGGGGTTAAAAATGATTCCTGAGAAGGATTATGGGTGAAGGTCAGATGCGCGAGGCCTTTCCCAAAGTCAGACACACACTGGCTCATTTCACCCAGTTCAGTCCAGTTTGGTCTGGTTCAGTTGGGTCGGATGTTGGCGTAGTTCTTGATGACGCCGGAGAACCTGATGATTTGGACCTCTGGGTTTTTGGGTTTGAAGTCCTGCCATAGGTACTCAGGTGACAGCACCTTGCTGGGTTTGTTGATCCACATATACCTGAGTAAAGAAGCAGGAAGTAGAATCATCTAACGATAACAACAAGGACCAGCACATCCAGCACCTGCCCAGCCACCTTTCCTACCTGTTCAGGTGACTCTCCTCCTGCCAAGCTGCCTCGATGCCCCTCTTGGCGTCGTCCTCAAAGTTCTTGCGGCAGGTTTTGGCGAGCAGGTGAACTTCTTCCACCAACCCCCCGAACGCCCCTCCACAGTAGTAGAAGTCCCCCTCCCCGGGAGCCACGTAGGCGTTGGACGCAGGACTCCGCTCGTAGGGGAACCTGCTGCGGTCATCTCTGTAGTAACCTGCAGACACAGGTGGGAGCGATGTCACTAAAAGTTCAGGGCAGAACAAAGCCGCAGAAAGCAGAAGTGAACGCACCTGAAATCTTTTTCAGAATTTGGCCTGAGTTTTTGAGATGTACTCTGAGGAGATCAAGCTGTTATTTTAGGGTTCATGTACCTCTTCTGTTTTCATATGAGTATGCCATAAACGTAATGCCTGTTTTTGACCTTGTGATTTGAAGCATGTGCCTTAAACTGAAATTCTCGCCCCAACAGGAGGGATGATGTAATCTGTCTGCTTGTTAGCACTCGTGTCCACAGTTTTCAAGATATTATGTTCAAATTCTGTGTGATGGGAGATACCAGTAACAGCTCCATATGGTGAAAGTTTGGTGAAAAGTCAAAATAAAGGTCACGCAGAAAAAACCTTATACTACGCAGACTTTTTGTCTTCACAACAATATAGCAGGCCTGCGATGGTTTAAGTAGCTAGGTTGGCTAAAAGCTGAGTTTGACCTCCAGAAACCAGAACAGCGTAAAACAACGCACGAATGTGTGAAAGTTTGTACAGAAGTCAACGATTTCAGCCAATTCTGCTCCGATCATAAATAAAATAAATTAAAATACAGCTTTAAGGTCATAGGTCAAAGGTCAGACATTGGCATGTTTCAGTAAAAACATCCTAAGACACCAAAACAGCCTTAACCTCTGACCCTAAATGCTGGCCTGGACCATAAGCTCCGAGCTCCCTGACCTGCACTCAGTCTACAGCAGGCGGTGCTGGACCAAGGCCAGGAAGATGGTGAAGGACCTCAGCCATCCCAACAACAGACTGTTCTCTCTGCTGAGGTCAGGAAAGCGATTCCGCTCCCTGAAGACCAACACAGAGAGACTGAGGAGGAGCTTCTTCCTGCAGGCGATACGGTCTCTCAATCACACCACCACACAGTACTGACCCACACATATGGTTCTTACACACACACTGGACTTTCTGGACTTTGTTTTTGCACAACACTGGTCACTATATTCTTCATTTCCGGTTAATACTTGTACAGCTGCTGTTATTGTGTATATATTTATTTATGTTTAGATTTCTTCATACATTCTTATATAGTTCTATATTGTGTATTTTGTTGTACAGTTATTTTATTTTCAACTTTAATTTATATATTTTATCTTATTCTTCCCAGTTAAATTTACCCTTCATTCTAATTTGTGTTGTACAGTTATTTCATTTTTAATCTTAATTTATATTTTATTCCTTCCTAGTTAAATTTACCCTTTTTAATTTTTCATATTTATTTCCTATCTTATTCATAGCCTTTTCCTTTTTTGTTCTCTTTAGGTCACGAGTAGTTGTCCAAGCATTTCACTACATATCGTACTGTGTATGACTGTGTACGTGACAAATAAAATTTGAATTTGAATTTGAAGCGAGACATTTGGCCGGCGGTCACCATGGAGACCCACAGCCAGACTTTGTTTCTTTGGAGGTTCTCTGCTGATGTTTACAGATGTGGGAATACTCGGATGTGTGTGTGGGGTGTTTTTGATCGAGCTGAAACGTCGACCACGAACTCGTTATTGTACGGTTTCGTGGCAGTGCGGGAGAACAGACCTGGATGGATCACGGCCACAAGTCCTCCCAGCGACTCGGCCCCCCAGCGACCGTGGAACTTTGAGTCGACGTCCAGACAGAAGATGTAGTCGGCGCGGTTCTGAAGCTTCTTCTCGATCAGGTTCTGGATGATCTCCATCCTGCGAGCTGAGATCTCCTGCCAGCGGTTTGAGCTGGGCACCGAGCGCACCGTCAGCTGGAGGAGGAAGAGGAGGAAGGAGGCAGAGTCAGAAAACAAAGAATCCGCCAAGAGGCTGCGTTTGGTTACAGGATCCGTTTACCATTCTGCCGGCCGCCATGTTCACTTTGGGCACCTCGTTAGGGCGATCAGTGAACACGTAAAAGTCCACCCTGAAGCCAACGAAGAAGTGCTCCTCAGACGTCTGCAGAAAGTCCTTCAGGAACATGATGTACCTGTGCAGAGGAGAGGTCAAAGGTAAAGCCAGAGACGCTGCTTTTAGGCCTGCAGGGAAACCGGAGCGTTGTGATGTCACACTTACTTTCCGACAGCGAAGACTGTGGCAGCAATGGTGATGTTCTTCCTTTTGTAGATGCTGTCCAAGAGAAACGGGTTGAAGGTTCCCTCCCAGACCACCGGAGCCAACCACGGCGTCACCGTCACCACGTCAGTACGACTGCCATTACAGAGACACGGCATCATCATCTCCATCATCATCATCATCATCATCATATTTATCAAAAGTACAAACATCATGACCAGGGCTCTAGAGTGCGACCAATTTGGTCGCAAATGCGACCAAATTTTTCAGTGGTGCGACTAAAAAAAATATTGCAACCTTCCCTGTGGTCAACAACAGACACACATTTTGTCCCTATCGTGGACTAAACCAATCAGAGATAGTCAGGGGCGGGACCTCTCTGATTGGCCATGGTCCAGTTGAAAGTGCAGGTGGAAGTGGGAGGTGAGTAGCTTGAATAAAGGATATCAATTCATTAAATCCTGAATCGACTTTTAAATATAACTGTGTTTTGCCAGAAACGCCAGATTCTCAGATTAAAGCTCACAAAACCATTTCAACAACAACCAAACAGCAGATGAGAGCAGGTACACGGACTCCACACAAAGATGTAAACACAGACCGACGCATCAGAATCAGCTTTGTCTTTCTCGCCTTTCTCACCCGACGGCCCGTAGACGGACACGCTGTCGGAGCTCAGCGATCCTGATGCGTCCGGTCCGCGCTATGTTTATGTCTTTTTGCGCTGATTCTGAGCTGCAGGTTTTGTCTCTCCAACCAAAATTCACCGAGCCAGCAGCAAAAGAAGCAGCAAACTGCGCTTCACATCTGATCAATGTCGTCATGAATTTTGCTGTTTTGCTTCCACGACTATTAAAATCACACTCCATGCACAGCTAGCTCTCTCTCTGTACTTCAAGAACAGTTTCCGTCTCCAATCTCTGTTTTCTGTATTATTCATTGGCTTATTACCCACCAGTCTACCGTTGTTTACAGCGCTGTGGCTGCTGTCTTTTTCTTTTTCACTTAAATGACCTCGGCCAAGAAAGCCTGTTTATTCTGTTGTTCAATACTGAAGAAATTTAAACTTTATATGCAGAACATTGTAGAATATTTTTAAGGTTATCTGCTATAAAAAGCCAGACCAGGAAAATCTCCTTCATGTTTTTCTGTGTTTTATTCTCAGTTACTTTCACACAAAGGCATCTGCTGTGATGTTCACAATTCTGATGAAGTCAGTGCTGATAAATGATCAGAATTATAATATTTCTGACTGTCTGAGGCCAAGTTGAATCGAATCGGGACTCTGAAAACCAGAATCGAATGGATTATAGAAATCAGTGATGATACCCAGCCCTAGTGAGCAGCCTGGGCACGACAGAAGTGGATGTAGCTGTAATAGGAAAAGAACTATTGCTAACTTTTCTGTTAAGGCCTGATCCTTCTGAAATTCATAGCCAGTGCTCTGACACGGTGTCATCAATCTTTGAATGCTGAAAAAGCACAGTGTATCCAGAAAAACACATTATATTATATAAATTTAGAGCTGGGCGATATGAGATTTTTTCATATCACGATATGTTTTTTTCATTTCAGGCGATAACGATATCTATCACGATATAAGCCAAATAACTATATTTGTAAGATTTAAATGTGCCGTTGCTCACAAGTAAAATGTGAAATAATCAGCAGCTTGTTTTTAAATATTTATTTCCCATAATAAGTTCAACAGGGTAGATGTACTTAAGGAACATGAGACTTTTTCAGATAAATAAAGGCAAATATTGCAAACTACACAAAAGGCAGCCGCTAAAGCGTTTAAGTTTCAAAATAGAACAAACGAAACAGACTAAATTGTCAATTCCACTTAGAAACAAAATATTAATTCTAAAAATAAATCTTAGTTTGTTTTACAGAAGAACAGACAAAACTGACTAACTTTTGTCAATATCAAATAAACTGAGAACTAAAAGGAAATTCTCAATCTCTCCTTGTTGTATAGCTTAGCTTTTCAAACAGTTTTAACAGTTACTTTAGTCTGACAAAAGCCGAATGACGAATTAGCGCTTCCAGTCAGAGACTGAGGCTACGTCCACACGTACACGGGTATTTTTGAAAACGGAGATTTTCCGTTTTCGTTTTAAAAAATAATCCTGTCCACACATAAAGGCAGAAATGAAGGAAAACGCTGCTATGAACATGCCAAAGCAGCAGGTGGCGCTAGATTCCTAACCGTGCAGAAATGTTGGCCAATCAGAAGTCTAGAAGCCTCGGTGGGAAAAAGTAAACAAAGCTGGGGCATAGAAGCAGAACAGAGTCGTATGTGTGGAGGGACAGTAACTGTGTGTATATGTAAGCATTTAAACACTGCAGAGAGTAGAATTAACAGTATTGTAGAAATTCATTTCACCGAAACAATAACGTGGCGCACAGTGTGACGCATGCACCAGTTCATTGTATTTCCAGACTTGCTTTCGGCACAATTTACAGTGCACGCTACTCTGTTTTTTGTCAGACTTGAAATAGCCGAAATACCTTCACACTACGGAACTTCTATGGCTCTTCCGTTCGACAATCTCTCCGGCGTTGGAACCATCATCTGTTTTCTCTTCGGTCACGCTCGGTTGATTTTTCTAGTCGGCACACTCATTTCCTCCATTACGCGCTGGCTGCTTCCCAAACAAACACACGTGCGGCTTGGCACTTGTGCTGTATGTAGCAAGTCACGCGACGTGACGCTGCGGCTGTGATTGGTTCGGCTCTGCGCTACTTAATTTGGATTGGCTGACCTTTTTTTTTTTTTTTTTTTTTTAAGAGGACAAGAGCGGCGAGGTCTATCGCGATAGCTTAATTTCTCTATCGAGTAAAAGTTATATCGCGATACATATCGTTATCGTTCTATCGCCCAGCTCTATATAAATTATTATAAAATTTGTGTGCGCCTAACTTTTGTGCCGGTACGCCCATGGCAAAAAGTTAGTCTAGAGCCCTGATGACATAAAGAAGCAGAGATACTGACCCGTGCACGATGCTGGGCTGGTTGTACTTCAGACTGAAACACAGAAACAAAGAGGTTAAAGTTCAATACGAGCCAACATCACGAGCCTAACGCAGCCAAGCGCGTTCAGTTTGTCCAGCAGGGAGCGCTGCAAAAGGGACACATTTATGAGGAGTTGATGCACGCTCAATCATGCAGGTAAGGAAATCCCAAAAAATTGATTCTGTTCATCTGGATGTTTTCAGTGGGAGATTCCTCACATGAAAAGACCATCTCTGAATCGAGGAGGGGCCTAAGGGTACATCTGTCACCATCCTACAATGCTGTGACTGCAGCCATTCCCCAACTCTCTGTGAATGGTACTCGTGGACACTGATCAGTGGTCATGACCATTTGCATGTTAATGATCATAAACTGACCTCACAGCCCATTGTAAATCAGTGGTGCTGGTTTCATGTCCTGTTTATAAGGTTGGAAACCTGCAGCCAGCTGAGACTGAAGGAGTCACCTGATGATTATGAAAAGATGAACAGAACCAACCTTTTGGGAATACATTTATGAGTTAGATCCAGATCCTGAAGGAGCAGAATGAAAGGAAAGATCCATGATCTTCAGTCACATGCATGCAGTTCCTGCTCCTGACCAGCAGGTGTCAGCCGTCACACATTTCACAAATATGAGGACCGTTTCAAACTGCCTCTTTCACTACCTTTCCATGACCTGATGAAAACTTCATCAGCTAGAAAAGTTGATAAGGAATAAGAGGCGAGCAGAGCGGTGCTCAGATATCAGAACAAACTAACTTCAGCAAAAAATGGACTACAAAACACACATATGACGTCATGACAGCTGTTCTAACCCTGCTAATTTATGAGAACATCCAGTAAAAGAGTAACCCTTCATCCAAGAAAGAACGATCAGATCTACTCATGTCGGCAGCAGCTGTTTGCCTTTTGGGGGAAGAAAAACTGTGATGCAACAGAGTGAAGCTGCTGAGTAGAAAGGACAGTACTTACTGCTCAGGAGACTCCAGGTGGAGATCAATACCAGGCTGACTGAACGTGGTGGTTTCAACGGCAGATCTGCAGCACACACACACACACACACAGTGTCTGTTTGTTACCCTTAAAAACACCTTTAGACCGGACTGACCAAGTTCCACAGATCAGCAAAGGTGCTTTATATGGTAAGGTTAAGACCCTACGATAACACAGGGAAAAGCTAACAATCAGACAGTCCTCTATTTGCAAGCACTTTGGTGACAGCGGGAAGGAAAAACTCCCTTTTAACAGGAAGAAACCTCCGACAGAATCAGGCTCAGGGAGAGGCGGGGCCATCTGCTGCGACCGGTTTGGGGGGGGGGGGGGTGGGTGGGGGGGGGGGGGGGGGGAGAAGAGGAAGACAGGATAAAGACATGCTGTGGAAGAGAGGGAGAGTCATACAGGGCTCTAGACTGGAAACTAATTCCTCAATGGTGCGACTAAAAAAAACATCCTTGGTCGCAGCGGTGCAACCAGCCGTTAAAAAAACTCTGAAAGTCTCCGCGTGGTCAACAGCAGACACACATTATGCCCACATCGTGGTCAAAGCCAATCAGAGAGCCGGACCTCTGTGATTGGCTGTGGTCCACACATTCCTGTAGGCCTACCTGTCTATACATTTGAAAGCATAGGTGAATGGACAGTGAGTAGGGCTGGGTTTAAAATCACATTTCTGATTAAAATCAATTTTAACTTGAGTAAAGCGACATCGATTCATTAAATCCTGAATGATTTAAAAATAAATGTATTTCACCAGAAACGCCAGAATCTCAGGTTGAAGCTCACAAAACTGTTTCAACAACCACCAAACTGCTAAAACAGGAAACACCCCCCCATTAAAGTGTCACAACCAACCACCCATGCTGAAACCAGCTTTACTGCCTGTTGTCAGTAGCAACAAACAGTAAAGCCGGTCTGCGCTATGGGCTGAACCACTGTTAATGGTGGTTGGGGGGGGGGGGACACACACTTTGTATTCAGTTTTAGGATTTATAGGCAATGTTAACTGTAGCTTATTTTAATTGTATGCTAAACTGGGGTGGCAAGAGATTTTTGTAGGGTGGCACACGCCACCCCTGTAGACCCGGCCCTGCATTCAGTGGTATGCAAAAGTTTAGGCACCGCCGATCATTTTCATGTTTTTCCTTCATAAATCATTGGTTGTTCGGATCAGCAATTTAATTTAAATATATCATATAGCGGACAAACACAATGATATTTGAGAAGTGAAATAAAGTTTATAGGATTTACAGAAAGTGTGCAGAAGTTACGTAAACTAAATTAGGCAGGTGCATAAATTTGGGCACCCTTGTCATTTTATTGATTTGAATACCTTTAGCACTAATTATTGGAACATAAAATTTGTTTGGTGAGCTCATTGACCCTTGACCTACATACACAAGTGACCGTGGTTCAGGGGGTTGGGAAGCTCATCTTGTAACCGGAAGGTTGCCAGTTCGATCCCCAACTCTGTCTGTCTGTCTTGGTTGCTCGATGGCGTGATATGGCAGCCTCGCTTCTGTCAGTCTGCCCCAGGGCAGCTGTGGCTGTAACTGTAGCTGCCTCCACCAGTGTGTGAATGTGAGAGTTAATGAATAGTGGAGTTGTAAAGCACTTTGTGAATTCAATCCATTATTATTATTACTAATCCAGACATGAGAAGGGTATTTAGGGTGGCCAATTGCAAGTTTTCCTCCTCTTTGCATCTTCTCTCGAGAGTGGCTACATGGGAGCCTCAAAACAACTCTCAAATGACCTGAAAACAAAGATTGTTCAACATCATGGTTTAGGGGAAGGATACAAAAAACTGTCTCGGAGAATTCAGCTGTCAGTTTCCACTGTCACCGGAAGTGACAGGTCAAGGAAAATCTTAGATAAGCAGAGGCGAAGAATAGTGAGGACAGTCTCAGTCAACCCACACACCAGCTCTAAAGACCTACAACATCATGTTGCTGCAGATGAAGTCACTGTGCATCGTTCAACTATTCAGCGCACTTTGCACAAAGAGATGCTGTATGCGAAAGTGATGCAGAAGAAGCCTTTTCTGTGTACATGCTACAAACGGTGTCTCTTGAGGTATGCTAAAGCAGCGTTCCCCAACCCCCGGGCCTCGGACCGGTACCGGTCCGTGAGTCGTTTGGTACCGGGCCGCGAGAGTTGAGGCTCAGGTGTGAAATGTATGGTTTTCAGGGTTTTTAGCGGTTTTCAGCGTTATTTTGTTATTGTTTTTAAGCGTTAACTCGGTTTTCTTGGGTCTTTTCACGTGTGTTATGAATAAATCTTCTTTTTTTTCGGTACCGGTACTAGTTTTATTTTATTGTATTTATCCGTGACACATTAAAGGCCGGTCTGTGAAAATAATGTCGGGCATAAACCGGTCCGTGGCGCAAAAAAGGTTGGGGACCGCTGTGCTAAAGCACATTTGGACAAGCCAGCTTCATTTTGGAATAAGGTGCTGTGGACTGATGAAACTAAAACGGAGTTATTTGGACATAACAAGGTATGCATGGTGGAAACAGAACAGCATTTCAAGAGAAACACTTGCTACCCACGGTAAAATGTGGAGGTGGTTCCATCATGCTGTGGGGCTGTGAGGCCAGGGCAGGGACTGGAAATCTTGTTAAAGTTGAGCGTCGCATGGATTCCAGTCAATATCAGCAGATTCTTGAGAACAATGTTCAAGAATCAGTCACAAAGTTGCGCTGGGGCTGGATATTTCAACAAGACAACGACCCGAAACACTGCTCAAAGTCTACTAAGGCGTTCAGCAGAGGGTCAAAAAAAATGTACTGGAATGGCCATCTCAGTCCCCAGAAATAAATAATATTGAAAATCTATGGTGTGACTTAAAGCGGGCTGTCCATGCTCGGAAACCATCAAACCTGACTGAACTGGAGAGGTTTTGTAAGGAAGAATGGTCCAAAATACGTTCAACCAGAATCCAGACTCTCATTGGAACCTACAGGAAGTGTTTAGAGCCTGTTATTTCTGCAAAAGGAGGATCTACTCAATAGGGCTGGGCCATATTATACCGCTGAATGCATGATAGAATATTGGTAAAACGCTCATGCGCAGTGCCTTTGTTTTCATACGCAGATGGCCGATTGTTGAGTGAAACGAATGAACCAGAACTGGTTTGTAAAAATGCTGCAACTTCATGTGGAACTGGTTTTTCGTGTTTGTCCATCAGATACACAACAAAGCACATTTTTTTGTAGAACGTGCAAGCGGGCCGTCGTTATTACCGTATTTGTTGGACTAAGGTGCTCGTAAATCTGGTCCTAAACTCCCTCTGCTTCAGGTCCTAAAGTCAAACGAACACTGCAGCATCACTGAGAGTTAAAAACTGTCTAAATTCTTTCATCTTTAATAAAACGACCAGCGTTGCTGCTTTACCAGGTGTAACTATGAAGTTTAACATCCAGGCATCCATGAAAACAAAATTTATTACATTTAACGGAGTTAGAAGTTAGCAGGACGTTAGCTCGCTAGTTTCGCTTGTTACCCAAGCATGATATAGCACGTTCTGACAGAGATTTTTCAAAAAATGTAATCATACTGCTCTGCTGTCACTTCCAACATAAATGAAGACAGAAAACTAAACAGCAGTGACGTTTGTAGGGTTACTGAAGTTGGGCTAGCTGCTATATAATGATGTGCTATGTGATCGCTAGCGACACAGCTATGTTAGCATAGCATAAACACAGTGAAGCTGGAGGATGAACACTAACACTTTTCCACTTGATAAAAGTTAACGTGAGGGTTCCTGATGGTTAGAGACAAATGCAATCGCATGGCAGGATGCTGTAAACGGACCAAACTTCAGTCAGAACAACTGAGATAATCCATCCACAATACGAGATTAGTCATTAATATACTGCAACAACTGCAACAACAAAGTTCGATTTATCTGACTCCTTTGTTTCGCTTAATGTGCGCTATAATCCCGTGCACCTTATGGTCCGAAAAAAACGTATTTGACTTTTTTTATTTGGCACACTGCAGTTTAATGTTGCAAAGCACCTCTTTTTAACTTCAGTGGATATTATACATGGTTAACTCAGGATATGTCAGCACATTTCTACTGGAAATGCCTTTTGGTTAAACCTTCAGCAAGAAATTTGCATTTGCACTGTTAAATTTTTATAAAGCTTTAATGCACTCAAAAAACAGCTGCTTGTTTAAGTAAAATAAATGGAAGGTGTTTTTTTGCACTAGTAAAGTTGTGGAGTTGTATTTTGTCTCACATCAATTATATCATTATCGCAAATTTTCAAATATATATCGTGATAAATATTTTTGGCCATATCGCCCTGCTCTAACTACTAAATATATTGATAAATTTTTCTGTTGGGGGGTGTCCAAATTTATGCACCTGCCTAATTTAGTTTACCGTATTTTCACGACCATAAGGGCACTGTGCTAAAAGGCGCAGTCTCAGTTATGTGTGCCCTTACTGTATTTAACACACACATAAGGCGCACTGGACCATAGGGCGCATACAAGTACCGTATGCGTATTTAAAAATAAAGCGGGAGCAAACCTGAATTCGGTACCTTACTCACATTTCTATTGCCGGTAATCGTCATCATCAACAACACACAAGCATACAAGTGTGCGTATTTAAAAATAAAGCAGGAGCAAAACAAAGTTTGGTACTCACATTTTTATCATCAATCAAACCCATCGAAGTCCTCATCCTCTGTGTCTGAATTGAACAGCTGCGCTGAATCTCCATCAAACATGCCAGGTTCACTTTCTTCACTGTCAGAGTCACTTTCCGTGCTGTGCGGCTCCTCGGAAACGATGCCGGCTTTTGCGAAAGCTCGAACAACAGTGCCAGCAGACATGTTAGCCCAAGCATCTACAATCCATTGGCAAATTGTGGCGTAACTCGCCCGGCGCTGCCTTCCACTCTTAGTGAAACTGTGGTCTCCACCGGTCATCCATCGCTTCCAGGCCGCTCGCAGCCTTACTTTGAACGGGCGGTTCACACCGATGTCCAGCGGTTGGAGTTCCTTTGTCAGGCCTCCCGGAATGACAGCAAGCTCACAGTTCATTTGCTTCACTTGTTTTTTCACATCGGCTGTGAGATGGGCACGCATAGAGTCACAGATCAACAGCGATGGTGATGCGTGGAAAAAAATCACCTGGTCTCCTTACATACACCTCCCTCAGCCACTCTTTCATCATTTCCTCATCCATCCAGCCCTTTTCATTTGCCTTAATGATGATTTCTGCTGGAAACTTCTCTTTAGGCAAAGTCTTTCGCTTAAAAATCACCATAGGCGGCAGTTTCTGTCCATTAGCATGGCAGCCAAGCACAACAGTAAAAGAAGACTTTTCGTGCCCCGTTGTGCGTATCGCTACCGTGCTGGTCCCCTTCTTCTCCACAGTGTGACTCACCGGGATGTCAAAAGTGAGCGGGACCTCGTCCATGTTTGTGATGTGGCTGGGCTGGATGTTTTTGTCGCCGATGTGTTTGCTGCAGTAGGAGCGGAAGATGGCCAGCTTTTCCTTATACCGGTAATCCGCTGGAAGTTGCTGCGCTACCGTAGTCCTGGTCCGGATGGAAAAATGGCACCGTTTCATAAAACGAAAGCACCAAGACGGACCTCCTTGGAAATGTTCAATGTTCATCTCTTCAGCTAGTGAAACTGCTTTTAGCCGAATGGTGACTGTCGAAACGCTTCTCCCGCTCGCTCTTTGCTCGATGATCCACCGCTCGAGTCTTTCCTCCAACTCGGGCCACCTCGCCTTATGTCCGCGGAAACTCAGCTGCGTTTTCTTGACCTGCCGGAGCTTGTTTTCCAGCTTCCTCCATTTGCGAACCATCGATTCGTTAATCTTAAATTCTCTCGCCGCTGCTCGATTTCCATGTTCCTCCGCGTAGCTGATGGCCTTCAGTTTAAACTGTGCTTCGTAAGCGTGTCTCTTTGCCATTTTCAGGGTTGTTAAAACAACAATGTCCTGCATAATGCACATACCTGTTCTTTTATACAGGTATGTGCGATTGTCCCGGTATATACGATCAACGCCCACACTTCACCCTTTAACGTTCTCATGGTGTTCTCTACTACGTCCTCCTTACAACACACAGGGCGCACTGCACTATAGGACGCGCCGCACTTTTTGAAGAAAATCTAAGACTTTTAAGTGCGCCTTATGGTCATGAAAATACGGTAAGTAACTTTTGCACACTTTCTGTAAATCCTATAAACTTCATTTCACTTCTCAAATATCACTGTTTGTCTGCTATATGATATATTTAAATTAAATTGCTGATCCAAACAACCAATGAAGGAAAAACATGAAAATTATCAAGGGTGCCCAAACTTTTGCATACGACTGTAGATCTGTTTCAAAGCACTGCAGCACCTGTAACACCTGTTAGCTGTGTGACTCTTTCAAGGATCTGGCCTGTCATTAGCTAAGAGCGCTGGCTCTTTGGGTCTAGCTACTGCCAGCTTGAAGGCCTGTGGTACATCTCTGAGTCCTCTGAGCTTCATTCATGACTCATTTTAACCAATGGATGTTTGTATCTGTGTGTGCCTGTATGTCTGTGTCTATATGTCAGGTTGGGTATCAGACGCCACCTCTCTGGGGACATCTCAGGACCTCTACGGTATGGAGGCCTATCTCCCCCCACCACTCCCCCTGCCAGTGGCGGACTCCCTCAGGTGTCGGTGCGTTGGTGGTTCTTTGTGTCCGGGGATGGACGTCCAGGTACACACCGGCTCACTCCTTGGCGGCCGCTTATCGGGGCCTGGAGCCTGGGGCTCGCTCGGGCCACTTCGGGGGTGGGGTGCCCCCGGCCTCTCGGTCTGGGGCTCGGTCACTCAGGCACAGCAGGTTGCCGGCGGAGCTCACGGGCGCGTCACTGCAACTCCCCCTGGCTTCTGCTCCGCGGCTGCTGAGTGAGCCCTCATCTGGGACTCTCCTCAGCTCTTTCTGGGACAGTGGCGCGGCTGCCCCTCTGTTGGTCTTCATTGGTCTCTTGTGTTCTGGGGGCCTCTGGATGTCTGGAGTTTTGATCTCCTCCATACCCGCTTCATGCCCTGGAGGACGGGGCTGTGGCCCCCCCACACCCTCTAACAGATCATTACATGAAGGAACCTTTTAAAAAAACAAGCGCGTCCATGCTCACAGGTGTACACACGGGTGATCACACCCACAAACTACACCCTTTTTGGCTCCTACCTCAAAGCACACTGTGTTCTGTTGATCTTATGTGCTGCACAATAATGTTTAACATTTAGTATTTACTGTCATATTCCCATATATCATTGTGATGTTGTTTATTCTATTACTCTTGTTCTCTTCTGCTTGTTTTCTTTTTTCTTTCTCAACAGGTGATCCAGGTGATCGATAGATGCATTTTTTGTCTGCTTATTTTGTTGGTTTTTGTTTGACAAGGGTGCCCAACTTTATCCCCGTCCCTCTTCTCCGCTGTTTTTCTTTCCCTCTTTCTTTTCCCCAGTCAAATCTGTCCCGTATTTAGCAAGTGAAAATAAATAAAATAAACAATAAAAGGTGAATCAAATGGACCATTATGGCAAGGCTGGGATGGTCCATTTGGTAAAGTAAATCCGTTGGGCATCTTCTTCTTCTTCGCCTTTAGACAAAAATTCTGATGCAAATGAGCCGAACGGGACAGGCAAAAAAAAGAGTGCCGCCTTAAACACAGACACACAGAGTTCTTGTTACTTACCCCGCCTCCACTGTCTTCCACTTCTCCTCAAAGGACAGCGAGACTCTGCATGACACAGAGATCAAAGTTAGCCCCGCCCACCTCTGACAGGTTACCGGTTATCGATCAGATCCCGGTAACCCGCTCCCATCTTATTATCGGTGTTGTCGTGAGCGCATGAAGCAAAGATATTCCACACAGCCAATCACCAGCCAGAACAAAAAATGTGCAAGCCAATCACGTGTCAGCACAGCACGGGGCGCGGTCATGCGCCATCAGACACGTCTGCTTGTTATCGCCGTGACAATGGAGACACTTCTCCAACTTCGGCGATCGTAGCTCAAGAGTTGGGAGTTCGCCTTGTAATCGGAAGGTTGCCGGTTCGAGCCCCGGCTCCGATAGTCTCGGTCGTTGTGTCCTTGGGCAAGACACTTCACCAGTTGCCTACTGGTGGTGGTCAGAGGGCCTGGTGGCACCAGTGTCCGGCAGCCTCGCCTCCGTCAGTGCGCCCCAGGGCGGCTGTGGCTACAATGTAGCTGCCATTACCAGTGTGTGAATGTGTGGATGATTGCGTATAGTGTAAAGCGCTTTGGGGTCCTTAGGACCAAGTAAAGCACTATACAAATACAGACCATTTACCATTTGTTAACGACCTTTGACCTTGAACAGCCGTTTCTGTCAAACACTGAAGAACAACACTTCGCAGAGTCAGCTAACCCACACTGCCCCCTGCTGACAGTAAACAGCAGTGCACAGGAAGCCCTGAGGAGGCTTTGGGGTAACGCAGGTGTGAGGCCCGAGCGCACAAACAGACAGAGGACACAAAAAGGTCTCCTGTGTAACTCGACTCCATCAACAGGACACAATGCAGAGCTCACAGCTGCTCTTTCAGCTGCAGACGCCACGAGGAAGAAAATCCCAGAAAAATGAATCTGTGAAAAGCAAAAGGTTTTCTCCGAAACGGAACAAAGGAGGGTTTGGGTGTTGCTGCAGCCAACGTCGGCCATCTTTCCCTAACTCTGCCCTCGCCCCCATAACCATCAGCCAAGTGTCACAGCATTCCCAGAGAGGAACACTGATCCCAGACCTGCGCTGTTTCACACCTTCATCACCCTCGGTGTGCCTGTGGATGTGAAGCTGATTGGTCAGGGTGCGCAGAGAAAACATGCTGGAATCAGCTGAGCAGACCACACACGTCAAACACTGAGAGGGGGGTGGCTTACGGATGTGCAGCTGCTGCAGCTACAGGTGAAACAGGTGAGTCACTCTTCCACGAAACACATAAGCCTGGCGTGAGTTCATTTCCATGGCCAGTGAAAGTGAAATGGAAATCAGGTCATGGAAAAAGTTTTCACAGAAGAGAGAAACACATCAGGGACGTAACCAGGGAAACCATCAGTGGTAAAACACTTCACAGATCTGAGATCCAGGCGCTCCGGAGGCTCTCACGCTTGCCTGTGGGGAGCAGAGAGCTGCCAAACGTGTGGACGAGCTGCAGCTCGGGGACCAGCAGGTCCAAACATCCCCAGAACCCTGTTACACCCACTTTAGCTCATTGCTAAATCCCAGTTAGGTTTCCTTAGCCCTCGCGCTGACCGGCAGCTCTCACTTTACCCGCCCCTTTCTGCTGATTGGCTGCCCCGGCACACGGAAGTGTCATGTTAGTCATGTCCAAATTCATGGGCTGCTGCATACTGAGGACCCGGCCTTCGCGGTCTACGTGGGCGGGTCCTCAGAAGGTCGGGTACGCCGGAAGTAAACGGCTGTGAAATTGTACAGTCTAGCCTTCAGATTAGCGTCACCGCTGTCTGGGTGAAGTTTAATAAACTCAGCCGTCTGCTCCTTGCTGTCTAAAATATAACAGGACACTGACGTAAACTCTCGACCGTCTCACACGTCTGTTTAATCAGTTTTCTGTTTGATGTTTATTCAGCTGTGTGAAAACCACCCGGGGGATTAAAAAGGTTTTTTTTTAATATAATTTGATCTAATAACTTTAATCTCAGCCAAACTGATTGCCTCACAAACAAAGCCCAACAATAACATTTTAAGTTATCTAAGTGACTTATATATCACGTTTAACCTAAGTAGCGAAAGACCGCGGGGGTCTGAAAATGATGTGCCGGGAGTTGTGCCGTTCTTGGCGGCTCCAGTAACCCTCGAGCTCCCGGCTAGCTATCGAGCTGGTGGGTAACAGACGTCTCCGAAAACGTCGGAGCACTTTTGCAAATATGTGATATCTTGATAAACCGAGCAGATATTTGACATTTACACAGCTACTTTCTGCCTGAAAATATGTTAAAAGTTTATTTTGTGACCCAGAAAGAGTAATAAGAGTAATTTTAAAACTTAGCAGCGGCCGCCATTGTTGAAAACTGGAATTGGCTGGGCCGCGCTATGAATTCTGGGATATGTGACTTTTTTTATTTCACCATTCATTAACTGCACAGAGAAGGCCTCGTTTAAATATGTTAATGTTTTCTTTAAGCAAAGACTATTAATAAAGTTTGTCATGACTGGGCCAAGTGTCCTCTTTTTTGGAAATCAAAGCATGGTCACCCTAACATGAATCCACTTCCTGGCTGTGACATCATCATCAGATCATCCAATGAATACAACACAGCTTCACGTCTCGTTCGGTTTGTGTTGATGCAGCTTCCAACATTCACGCCGATTCGTGCCTCAGACTGGGTCACGTGACCGTTTCAGCTGCAGTTCAAACTCAGACAGGAAGCTCTGTGACTTTTATTTTGAAAGTCAGAGACTTAGCAAAGAGGAAGCTAGCAGGAAGGAATCATGCGTGTCTGTGCGAGTGTGTGTGTTACCTGTAGTACTGGGACAAGTACAGCAGCCTGTGGGGTCAAACAAACACAATCATTAATCAATCAGCAGACCTTTAGCTCGTTAACATGTTCCTAACCCGAACGGCATTAGGTCGAGCGCCTCTCCTCGCCAACACGCCTACACTCAGGCTCGACCGCCGCCTCGGTCAGAGGTTACATTCTGTAAAACCAGACTATTACTGGACTGTACACATGATCATCAGGTGTTTGCGATAGAGCTGACCAATAGGAGCGCACGAACACACAAAGCTTCAGTCATCAGCCTGAACACACCTGAACAAACTGCTGTCACTCACGAGGCTTTGTGCCATTGTGAACCCTGAACGACGCAACGCTGCAAGCTCGAACACAGAGACGGGAACAAAGAGAGACGCCCTGAGCAGACCGAGCTACAGACCTGGCAGGATCCGCCTGAAACCTGAGCATGCTCCGTGTGTTTGCTCTGCTCAAAGCTGACATCGCAGAGGTCGAACAGAGGCTTCAGTAGTAAACGCCACATTAACAGTAGTATTAAACGCAGTATTAACTGTAGTATAAGTACATGAACTCACCCCAGCAGCACAGTGACAGACAGGATCACAGTCACAGCTTTTGTGTGGAGCACGGCCATCTTTCAGACCGGGACGGGTCCGATCCTCGCAGGTCTCTCGGTCCAGATCAGGACCACATCAACCACCGAGACCGCGTCCAGCACTTGGCTTCTGATCCAGCAAGTCTAATAAAACCAGCCCGACTCCTCTGTGTCTGCACAGAACGCAGCGTTTACTGGCTGGATCTGATTAGCAGGTTGAAGTGTTCAGGCACAACTCACATCCTCCACACCCTAGAGAGAGAGAGAGAGCAAGAGAATCTGAACTGTTAATAAAGGAGCAGCCAGTCAGCGGAGAAATGGGAGGAGCTAAAGCAGCTTGTTGGTGAATGGAGGGGCTGCAGCAACGTCCAGTCTCAGAAAGAAGATCAGCAGGTACACACCTGTGGCTCAGGTTACCTGAGACAGCCCCCTCCTCCTCTCACGGCTGGATCACATTTAAAGCCCGCCCTGACTTCCTGTACGCTCTGACCTCCTTATCGCATCGTTATACGAAGCTTCTTTTCACAACTGTAAACCGAGACGCGTGTTTCGGCACCATGAAGTCTGAAGTTATCTGGGCCTAAAATAACACGGCTGTAAACGGAGCGCGGTCACCTGACACAGGTGTGCTGTTGTCACAGTAACATAAAGTCGTCACATCAAACCTTCACACCGTGCGCAGGTGAATGTCACAGAAGACAGCAAAGCCCCGCCCACATTCAAGTAGCACTGCAGCATTCCAAAATGAAGCTTTTTTGCTTCAATGTTTCATTGAAGACACAAGTTGTGCTTTCTCCTTTGAATATTAATGATTGCTTAATAATTACCAAAAAGATTCCTTTCTGATTCTTCAGTTAGTCAATAAAAGACATCAGCTCATCATGCAGGTGTGGAGCTGTGTCCACTCCCGTGGAACAACATGAAGGTATGCACACGCATCACATGACAGTCCTCTGTTTGTGTGAAAACGATGGTTGTTGTTGTTGTGCAGGATCATAAGCCTTTGCCTCCCTCCTGAGCTGAGCTCCAGCAGATCCTCGCTGGTCTGGAGTCGCTAACAGTACATCACATGTGCAGCTGCTCCTCTCAGCAGAAACAGGTAAACAGTTTTCCTGAGCTGCTCGGTCCTCCTCCGGCACAGAGGTCAGAGCACCTGCAGTGAAGCAGAGGGGAACAGCTCCAAAAACACAGATTTGTTCCTGTTTTAAGGTCTTGGAGCGTTTCCTCATTCTGACATCACTTCCTGGCTTTGAAAGTAGTGGCGGTTTGGGCATCTGACAGGGATGCCTCCAGGGTGAAGTGTTCTGGCCATGTCCCACTGGGAGGAGGCCCGGGGCAGACCTTACAATGCCGTGATTGCAGCAATTCCCCAACTCTCTGTGAATGGTACTCATGGTCTTTGATCAGTGGTTGTTGATCAATGGTCATGAGAATTTGCATAATTATGATTAAGGAACTGACCTCACAGCCCATTGTTCCTTCAGTGGGCTGGTTTCAGTCATTATGTAAATGTCCTGTTTATAAGATTGAAACCTGCGGTCAGCTGAGACTGAAGACGTCACTTGGATGAGTGACGAAACGTTTCTCCCAGAAAACGATACGTCCAGATCAGGGGTGCCCAATCCCGGTCCTCGAGAGCTACCGTCCTGCAGCTTTTAGATGCGTCCTTGTTCCCACACACCCGAATCAAATGAATGGCTTGTTATCAGGCCTTTGCCAAACATGATGGCATGCTGAAGAGGTAATCACACCATTTGATTCAGCTGTGTTGGAGTAGGGATGCATCTAAAAGCTGCAGGATAGTAGCTCTTGAGGACTGGGATTGGGCAGCCCTGGTCCAGATGAACAGAATCAACTTTTGGAGATCTATATATAACCCCTTTGTAAACGCTGTTCACCGAAGTCTATTTACCAACATACGTAACGATATTACACATAAAAAATACACGGAAACATTGGAAATGACTTTTTGGCACAACACCGGCACTACACTTCATGATGTCTCCGTCTCTCCGTTTCCAGCCCGGAGCTGCCAACCAACCCGGAAACAGCGCGACACACACGGGCGGGCGGACGGACAGCACGTACCTGTGCAGGCGCTCGTCGCTCTCCTCCGTCTTCTTTCTTTTTCTTTCTTTCTTTCTTTCTTACAGTTGTACTGGCGGTTGGCAAACAATTGAAAGGTGCCTGTCTTCTTCGTCTGTCTCACCTTCACTTCCTGCTCCGCCACAGCCAGCGGCGAGGCCACGCCCCCTAACCTCCCCCCGGTGCTGTGTTGAAACGCTTCCGCGTTTCTGGCTGATGCGCTTGGTCGTGAGCAGACTCAAGCTGGTCTCCGTGTTACTGAAGAACACGAACACAAAATATTACACGCAGCGCAATGTTTACACAAACACACTTCCTTGGATGGCTGAGTAACGGGAAACACCCGCAGCAGATGGGTGAGGGTGAGCACCACCACCAGTGATGGAGAACCCTCCCCATGTAACCAGGAACTCCCCGTGGGTTTAATTCACCAAAAGGCTTCCCGTGGTTCACTCGATCTAAAGCCAGTCAACCTGTGGCTTTAGAAGCATCAATTAAACACGAGAACTGATGGATTCTAATTTGTGTTGTACAGTTATTTCCTTTTTAACCTTAATTTATATTTTATTCCTTCCTAGTTAAATTTACCCTTTTTAATTTTTCATATTTATTTCCTATCTCATTCATAGCCTTTTCCTTTTTTGTTTTCTTTAGGTCACGAGCAGTTGTCCAAGCATTTCACTACATATCGTACTGTGTATGACTGTGTACGTGACAAATAAAATTTGATTTGAATTTGATTTTTGGGCCTGCACAAGTTTCCTTGTATACACTGTCAGTACCATCCTTTCACTTGATGCCAAACTGATTTTCCAGGGAAGAGATACACACTTATCTAGATCCTTAGATAAAATCCTGGCCTATAATTATCCACCCAGCTCACTTTTCCAGTTTTGACCAAAATACAGACATTTAGTGTGGGAGAATGTCATGGATCACAGATCCAGTGAAACAGAGGGCTGAAACAGGAGCTAGCCTTAAACTAGCATGTCTCAGATTTTCCTGTGATCCAAACCACAGGCCTTACTATCAAATACTTTATGAATGGCTTCATATACCTCATGTGTCAATACACTCATAGGTCCATTGTTGTACAGTGTAGTGTAATGTTGTCTCCATAGTGCTGCAGTATTATCTTCCCCAGAAACCGTGCAGAGTACAGATGGTTTGCAGTTGTTAACAGCATTTACCTCTTTCCCAAAATCTACATTTTCCCATGGATCCATCGGAGCAGAGACAGGGATCAGACCACCAACGTCCTGATTAGTAGGCGACATGCCACCCCTGTGCTTACATTGGACATCAAGCAGTTTACCACCTTCATGCAGAGCAGCCACTGTATCATCATATGGAACAAAGTTTATGTGAAGGCTGAAGATGCTGATGTTGGACATCCTGCACAAAACCGATTCTTTAGGCAAACAAATGTTGTTTAGATGTTTATTTGTATTATTATAAAAACCAAGAAGTCCTCTTCACTAAATGCTCTAATCTTACACTGGCAGCAGTGTGTTATTAGTGACATGATTATTTGGAGTTGTTGCTGGCAGTTGTTCCACATTTACAGTAAAACCCACAGGTATATGGTCTGACACAGCTACCCTAGATTTGCAGTCATGTTTTCTAATCCTGCATGACCCTCAGCTGTACTGATGCAATGATCCAGCCATGATGAAGTATAACAAGCTCCAGCCTACTGAGACAATCCTCGTCATTTTCACAAGTTTCATAAGGAGGACAACCAAACTTTTGTTATTCTGTGTATATTGTACACCAGTCTGCATCCAGCCTAATGGGCTTATCGCAGCCCTGGTATTCTGCCTCTGACTACAGCTGTGCTGAGACCAGCTGTTGATTCCTCCACTCCCCAAAATTTGGGCTCAAGGTAGTTAATTCTTGGTTAAGTCACTGTGTCTCCTGTAAATATAAAACGTCACATTGCGTTACAACAACACATCAAGCTTTGTGCCCTGCACTCTGTCCCAAACGCAGGCCACCACAGTTAGTTACACACAGTAGCTGTGGACACCAGGGGACACAATTATCTGCGCTGCTGGATGCACTGTGTTTGACCTCACACATCCGGGCCTGCGTGGTTCATGACAATGCCGGCCAGATCCGTTTCAGGCCAGAGTTCAGGACTGTGCTCCGTATATTGACAACTTTCTGGCAGGTGGCATTCTGTCAATGCAGAGAAAGCGTTTCTGCATCTACATCTGGGGAAGTCTTGTGCTGAACACGCTAATTTAGTCTTTACAGTTTTTATAGTACTGCCAATGAGAGATACACTTCCAGGCCTCTTGTTGCCTCCAGCAGTAACAGTGTGCAATCCCAAACCTGAAACAAGCTTCTCCATGGCCCAAGTTTGACTTCATGTTATTTATGTTCATAATCGAGCCGCTATGTTTATTCTAGAAATGGCACAATACCACTTTTTTATGTCCGATACCGATATCATAAATTTGGATACCAATACTGATATGAATCCGATATAGTGTGTTTTTTAATCAATAAAACTGTTTTTTAATATCTTGCTGCGTTTTGTATAAGTTCATACTCAAGTTTAAAAAAACCCCACTAAAGCTATTCTGTTATACCTGTATGTAAAAAACACACTGCACCCAAAATATTTCATAGTTCAGCAAAACTGATGAATCTAATAAACTTAAACCTGCTCAAGCCTCCCTATTCTGGTGTTTTAAAGAGTAAACAACCTAATAGGGTTGCAGCCTCGCCTCTGTCAGTGCGCCCCAGGGCCGCTGTGGCTACAATGTAGCTGCCATCACCAATTCAATTCAATTTCAATTCAATTTTATTTATATAGCGCCAAATCACAACATAAGTCGCCTCAAGGCGCTTCATAGATACAGAGAAAAAAACCCAACAATCATATGACCCCTTATGAGCAAGCACTTTGGCAACAGTGGGAAGGAAAAACTCCCTTTTAACAGGAAGAAACCTCCGGCAGAACCAGGCTCAGGGAGGGGCGGGGCCATCTGCTGCGACCGGTTGGGGTGAGAGAAGGAAGACAGGATAAAAGACATGCTGTGGAAGTGTGTGAATGTGTGTGTGAATGGGTGGATGATTGTGTATAGTGTATAGCGCTTTGGGGTCCTTAGGACCAAGTAAAGCGCTATACACTATACAGACCATTTACCATTTACTCCCAGCAAAAAAAAAAACTAAATAGGGAACCACCCCCCACCTCATGATGCTTAATTGACGTAATCAACTTTAATTTGATGCAGTGCGGAAAAAAAATGCACAGAAATCAATTATTTTTCAAATCAAATCACTTTTATTGTCACATCACATGTGCAGGTACATTGGTACAGCACATGTGAGTGAAATTCTTGTGTGCGAGCTTCACAAGCAACAGAGTTGTGCAAAATACAATAATGTAAACAAGCAAAATACAAGAATGGCTACATCTGAAACTAATAAATATATGTACAATATATAATAGTATATGCATTTCTGGATGTGTATACTAAATATTTTTCTACGTGTGTGTGTGTGTGTGTGTGTGTGTGTGTGTGTGTGTACACATATTTTACAAATTAAATAGAGTAAACAATAAATAAAATATATAAAAATATACAGAGTTGAGACATGTGCAAAACAGTGGCATTACTGTACAGTGTGGAGTGCATAATGTTGAAGTTCCAGTAGTGAAGCTGAGGTGTCTATGAAGTGTTCAGCAGTCTGGTGGCCTGGTGGAAGAAGCTGTCTCTCAGTCTGCTGGTACGGGACCGGATGCTGCAGAACCTCCTTCCTGATGGAAGCAGTCTGAACAGTTTATGGCTGGGGTGACTGGAGTCCTTGATGATCCTCCCCGCTTTCCTCAGGCAGCGCTTCCTGTAGATGTCTTGGAGGGAGGGAAGCTCACCTCCAATTATCCGTTCAGAGCACCGCACTACTCGCTGGAGAGCTTTGCAGTTGTAGGCGGTGCTGTTGCCGTACCAGGTGGTGATGCATCCAGTGAGGATGCTCTCAATGGCACAGTGATAGAAGGTCCTGAGGATGCGGGGGCTCATGCCGAATCTTTTCAGTCTCCTGAGAAAGAAGAGGCGCTGCTGCGCCTTCTTCACTGTTTTGTTTGTGTGTACTGACCACGTAAGATCCTCAGCCAGATGTACTCCAAGGAACCGGAAGCTGCTCACTCTCTCCACAGCAGCGCCGTTGATGGTGATGGGGGTGTGTACTTCTCTGCACCTCCAGAAGTCCACTATCAACTCCTTTGTCTTTGCGACGTTGAGGGTGAGATGGTTGTCTTGACACCAGTGGGTCAGGGCGCTGACCTCCTCCCTGTAAGCCGTCTCATCACCGTTGGTGAAAAGACCCACCACTGTAGTGTCGTCCACAAACTTCACAATGATGTTGGAGCTGTTAGTGGCCGTGCAGTCGTAGGTGTAGAGTGAGTACAGGAGAGGGCTCAGTACACACCCCTGTGGGGCACCAGTGTTCAGTGTGATGGGGGATGAGGTGATGCTGCCCAGTCTGACCACTTGGCGTCTGTCAGACAGGAAGCTAAGGATCCAGCTGCAGAGGGAGCTGCTCAGTCCTAGATCCTGCAGTTTCCTGTCCAGCTTCGAGGGAACGATGGTATTGAATGCTGAGCTGTAATCTACAAACAGCATTCTCACATACGTGTCTCTCTTCTCCAGGTGTGACAGGGCAGTGTGTAGTGTCAAGGCTATGGCATCATCAGTGGACCTGTTGTGGCGGTATGCGAACTGTAGAGGGTCCAGTGAGTCGGGTAGTGCAGAGCAGATGAAGTCCCTGACCAGCTTCTCGAAGCATTTGCTTACGATGGGGGTCAGGGCTACAGGTCGCCAGTCGTTCAATGAGGAGATGGTGGAGGATTTGGGTACAGGGACGACGGTGGCCATTTTGAAGCAGGCTGGGACTACAGACAGAGAGAGGGAAAGGTTGAAGATGTGCGTGAACACTGCAGCCAGCTGAGCCGCGCATGACTTGAGGACGCGGCCGGGAATCCCGTCCGGACCAGTAGCTTTGCGCGCGTTCACCTTCCTGAAGCACCTCCGCACATCCTCCTCAGACACAGTGTGCGCACTGACGTCATCCGCGGTGCGCACACTGTCCGGTCTCATGGTGTTCGCTGTGTCGAATCTAGCGTAGAATACGTTTAGATCCTCACACAGAGAGGCCGTGGTCTGCGGTGTGCTGGTTTTCCCTCTAAAGTCTGTGATCGTGTTTA